TCCACCTCTTTGCCCTTGTTTGGTATCCCGCCGTGGGTGTGATGACGCGTGACCAAAATGGCGACGGTTGGCCGCGCCTACTTGTTGCTTCTTTTGCGCTCTTCAGAAACCTATGGGTGACGTCACGGATACTATGTCCATATATTTTACAGTCTATGGAGTTAACAGTCTGACATCTGTCTGTGTCTTTATATATACTGTATATGTATGTGTGTGTGTGTGTTTGGTAGGAGGGGGGTGCCAATGGATAAGTTGTGTCAAAAGGGATGCCCACTTTCTTAGACTTTAAAAAACCCTGATCTAGATTATCTATGCAGAGCTATTATTTTCTACCTGACATAAGATGAACATAATAAAACACAAGTTTGATCTTTATTTAATCCAGTTCGGCTATGACCTCACACGCTGCTTTAATATTCAAATGAGCTCCTCAATGGCAGTGATGCAACACCGGATTTTCACTGATGTCATCATAGATCAAAATAAACCCAGACAACATGTCAATCATCAAGCCACGACCAATCACATCTCAGCATTTTCCAAATGAGCCAATCAAAGTGCGCATGCTCCCTCAGAAACACGACAGCATTATAAACCGGAGAGATAACACAGTTCATTAATTAAAAAACATTCCCCCGGTGACTGACTGTCATGCCGCCGCCGGAATCAAACCGCTATGATATCTTACAAACCCACCCAGGTCTCGCTCTCTGGCGTTTCCACAGCAACAAAGAGAGCAATAAACTCCAGCGAATGGATTTGCTGCCAGAGTCTCCCACCCAACACAACCGTAAAGATTCCCTCGACGGCTTTCATTAAGCTGGAAGGGTCCGTAGAGCCTCACACCCGAATAAGTGCTGTCAGATATCGGCGTGAGAGAAGGTGTGGGTGGTGTTTCCTACCATGCATGAGCGTGTTTGGATGCACTCAGTCATCTTTGGGTATCTCACATACAAACACACACATGCACGAGCAGTGGGTCGTGATCAGAGCTACGTAAGAGGATGAACGCGAGCTTGGTGATTCAGCAGACAGGCTACAGTCAAATACCGCGCATCTTATCTCATCTGCTACAAAACTCAATGCACTGCATGGCGTTTGGGATTATAAATGCAGCGTCGCAGGAAGGATCACAGTGTGAGCTGCTGCATGCAGAGGGAATGCAAACCTGTAATGACTTTCCCTCCTGACCTGCAGCGCATGAACACCAATGCTTTGATTTACATACTGGAGCTTTTAGCAAATTAATTAGTCCTGACGAGAGATCTGACTCTGGGTATTTATAACAACAGGGGGGAGGGGGGTATTTACTCTAAAGCTCGTTGGCCAAAACAGAACCTCAAAAAATATGAGGTGCTTGATGCGTTTTGTTCAAACACCTCAAAAACATATTTGAACATAGTTTTGACTGTACTTTCAGGGTAGAGTGAACACTAGAGGGCAGTATGACTTCAACAGCTTTTGTTCCTTTTTTACACTACTGTTATCAACAAAGACATTTTATCGACTAATAAAAGATTATTTTCATGCAGTTCTTTGCACAACAGCAAATCTAAACTCTACAATTTGTAATCTAATATATTTGCATCACCTGTCTATCTCCATATGGACAACTTTTCTGGTGTGGTCAGTTTGCTCACTAGCTCACCTGGTACGGTGTTGTACTCGAGATGCGGAGAGCTTTAGTCTGGTGAAACACGGTTCAACAAGAAAGACAAAAGCAATATAAACTCAAGGTAAAAGTGTGTGGTCCCCGTGCACTTTTCTTTATGTTTGCTTTTGAAAACATTATTGATTTGGTTAGGGCACAGGTGTCAAACTCAGTTTTAAAAGGGCCACAGCTCTGCACAGTTTAGTTCCAACCCTAATTAAACACACCTGATCAAACTAGTTGAGTCCTTCAGGCTTGTTTGAAAGCTACAGGTAAGTGTGTTGGAGCAGGGTTGGAACTGAACTGTGCAGGGCTTCGGCCCTCCAGGAATTGAGTTTGACACGCCTGGGTTAGGGAATGGTTTAGCTCAGTGGTTTGCTTGGTGATCTGTAGGACAAGTCCTGCCTTCTCGTGCAACAAAATATACCCGGAGCAATGTACTTTACTTATAGCAAAAAGTAGGCAGCGCCCTCTAGTGGATATGTCATTAAAAACGTGCAACGAAACATACTGGGAACAATGTACTTTACATAGAAAAAAATTAAGGCAGCGCCCCTTAGTAGATTTGTCATCAGAAACGTCAAAGTCCCTTTAAGGCAAGTCATTTCACTCAGTGGCCGTCATTGAAACGCCTCTCTGCAAGTATGCTTGGACATTCTGTTTGTATTGGGAAACATCAAATTCTCCAAAACTGTTTGCCAAGCTCACAATTAAATTTTATATTCGGAATAAGCAATAAAATGAAACAGCAACTGTCTATTTAGTTTAATTTCTGAATGTTCCTATCACACAAAATCTGCAGAAACTAATGTCTACGAGCCCCTCCCCCGGAGAATAGTCATTCTTGATTGGCTCTTGAACTAAAAGGCGGGCTTTATCCGCTAAACAGCAAATGCTGATTGGCTTCTGTACTAGTAGGCGGGGTTTCATTCGCCATATTGACAGTTACACTTTTTCCCATTCAAAAGTATACGAGTGACATGTCTTGTGTATTCTAGAGTCTTCGGAAACATGCAACAAAACATAATCAGAGCAATGTGCTTTACATTTAAAAAAAAACTGTAGGCAGCGCCCTTTAGTAGATTTGTCATCAGAAATGTGCAACAGAACATTCCCTGAACAATGTATTTCATATTTAGCAAAAATGTAGGCAGCGCCCACTAGTGGATTTGTCATCAGAAGCGTGCAACGAAACATACCCGGAGCAATTTACTTTACATTTAGCAAAAATCCAAACAAAGATTTTTGCTGCGTTTTCAAGCTACTTATTTAAAATGGGCTGAAACAACACAAATCTTAAGCTTTATTTGGAACTTAATTTTTTATGTTCAATCAACTTACATTTGTAAGTACATTTGTACATTATAATTCATTCAGTGAGCGGCAGTTCTGTGAACACAAATGCCTTGCTGCTCCCATAGGTAAGAGGAGAATGGCCAGACTGGTTTGTGCTGATAGAAAGGCAACAGTAACTCAAATGAGCACTCGTTACAACCGAGGTCTGCAGAAGAGCATTTCTAAACGCACAACACGTCCAACCTTGAGGCAGATAAGCTACAGCAGCAGAAGACCACATGGTTGCCACTCCTGTCAGCTAAGAACAGAAAACTGAGACTACAGTTCACACATGCTCACCAAAATTAGACGATAACGTTGCCTGGTCTGATGAGTCTCGATTTCTGCTGCAACATTTGGATGGTAGGGTCAGAATTTTACGGCAGGATAACACGCCATAAAGTGCGAATCATCTCAGACTGGTTTCTTAAACATGACAATGAGTTCACTGTACTCAAATGGCCACCACAGTCACCAGATCTCAATCCAATAGAGCAGCTTTGGGTTATGTTGGAATGGGAGATTGGCATCATGAATGTGCAACCGACAAATCTGCAGCAACTGTGTGATGCTATCATGTCAATATGGAACAAAATCTCTGAGGAATATTTCAAGCACCTTGTTGAATCTACGCCACGAAGGATTAAGGCAGTTCTGAAAGCAAAAGGGGGTCCAACCCGGTACTAGTAAGGTGTACCTAATAAAGTGGCCGGTGAGTGTATATGTTGTCATATATATATCAAATTGCTAAATGGGGTATTTTGGGGTGTGTGTTATTCTCGAATAATTCAACAGCTCATCATCAATTATTCCTTCCTTACTGTTGATTCTGTACTGTTAACACAAGAACATGTCAAACATATCCACTAACACAGTGCAAAGCCTTGTATTTCCAAATCTCAACGAGAGGAACATTTAAGTCCTGTAAATGTAAAGCCATTTCAAATAGCCATAATGCAATATGGTCTCCCTGCAGAGATCCTGATTTGCAATATATCTCCTATCGTCTCTCTTTCTCCATGCATGAGACTCTTTGAGCTCCATATTATTAAAGTTATTCATAATTCAACACTCCACAGGGTTACTGTCTCTCTATTACAGCCTGTTGAGGAGCTCAAGACACAAACTCTGAGATAAGAGTCTTCTGTATCATGTGCGAAGGAAGATCTCAGAGAAAAAAGTCCATCGTATATCTCTGGTGTCACTGAACAAGCTGGTGCACAGGGGAGTATTATGAAGTTAAAAGTTTATAATATCGTGCAGAGAAGAATCAGAAGAGAAGAAAAAAACACTAATGAGATCTCTTTGTTTCTTCTATACAGCAGTATCTTTAAAGTAATATATTAATAATGTGTAAAAAACTGTGCTCAAATGTCTAAAATCAAAAGTCAGTCAAGTCACATGCTAATAATATAAGCTTTATATACATTTAAAGTGTTTTATTGACAATAAATCTAATATATTTTATTATGTTTTTATTTCTGTGTGATAATTATATAAAATATATATTTTTATGAATGTATACCTATTTTTCATATATGTAGTTGAATGTTGATTTAAAATGTTTAAATCTAATTGAATTATTTATTAAATTATAGATGTGAGATGGGATTTGCATTTCATATGCAATCAAATTAAATACATGCGCATATTTCAAAATATACTTCACATAGAATGAAATTATATATTGTGTTATTTATTAATTAATAATCAATACGAAATTAATTTATTTAGTGTTTTCAAATCAAAATAACCTATAATTAGTTTTATATTTAATCTAATTATATCTGTATGATGTTAAATCTACTTATTATATTATAAATGATGAAATGTGAATATAATATAATATAATATAATATAATATAATATAATATAATATAATATAATATAATATAATATAATATTATAATGTAT